AATGCAACCTCTTTTTATTGCTTTCGTTTGTTGTCTTCCTCTCAGTTCCGACTCTGTCGTTTGGTTTTGATCGCGCCTATCGATTATAGACGTGATCTGCACAATGATCTGGCGCGCTCAAGGCGGCTCTAAAGGGCAAGTCACAAGTACAATGGATCGATATCGTCTCTTTCGTCTCAGGCACCGGCTGGGCTCAAGCCCTCTGCTCACTTGACCTGTCCCGATCACTTGTCTGAAGTGAGTATTCAGTAAACTTGTTCCTTATTGCGAACTGAAGAGAAGTCATCTTGTCAACTCAAGTAGAGCGTCTTCGAAGGGAATCTGTTCAGGCCTCCAGTTGGCATCGCTGTCGCCAGCCTAGTCGAAGCGGTCAGTCATCTCAGGTTGTTCTAAGTGGATATTTCACTTATCCTCCACTCCTACCGAATCTAATTCAAGCCGCCTTTAGTCGAAATTTTTTCAAGGTCAAGTTATCAAGTTAACAGCTTGTGTGGATCATTTCATACGGCGAGCTAAGTGCCAATAAATTCCGGGGCACTATTTAATCCTTTCTGCCCCACTTTGTCGAGGATGGGCTGGATTTCTATCGAATTTTTTCAGGAAGGTGAAGCCGACTAGAAACTTGCCTAGAGGGTAATTTGACTCGTAGAACACGAATATCGCAGAGCAAATATGACCTCGATGTTCTAACACACCACTTAGGGGCAAGTTTTCAGCAAGATCGGTGACCTGGCTCCATTTGGCGCCCGCGCCTGTGGGGCGAGCGCTAGGCATCTTTATGACGAGTGGATGCGATACTCGTGTTTTACGGGTCGAATTACTCCTCTAGGCAAGTTTCTAGTCGGTTTCATCTTCTTGAAAAAAATTTGTTGGAAATCCAGGCCATTCTCGACTAAGTGGGGCAGTAAAGGGTAAATGGTGCCAATAGATCTTTGTTGGTCAAAGGGAGAGATCAGTGAAACGGCATTGCGGCCGTAATCAGCTGCGGTAACAACTGATATGGCGTGACCTGGCGGGAACAGGCGGGGGTATGAAAGTAAATTCTTTTTCAGGAAGAGCGGACTCCCGAAGGGCCGACGAACCCCTCTCCTCTGGGCGGCCATATTTTTCGAATTGATTTATTTTCATCGTTACCGTTCATTTCTCCTTTGCTATTTTTAGCTACTACTCTTTTTCACTGCTAACCAGGGAGGGGTAGTCTACTTATCTTGGAACATTGAATTCAGACCCAGATAAATCGATAGAGTTTGGAATGCTGTTTACGAAAATGGAAATTAAAACTGCAAAATGATCCTCCTTAAAAAGTTGGGGCACGAATTTTGCTCGACAGTAGTAACAATTGTTAAAAGAAATATCAGAAAACGTTTAGAGAGCCCTCGATTAAATGAAAAAACACTTTGCAAAAGTGCGGACAATGGCGGGGAGGGCCCGTCATTTTACGTCCACGAAACGAGACCACTACCACTAGGTCTCGTTGGCGTTTGATATGGAAGCGACGAGTTCGCATTTCCAATTGATACTACTGTCGAGCAAAATTCGGGCCAACATAACTTTTTAAGGAGAATCATTTTGCAGTTTCAATTTCCATTTTCGTAAACAGCATTCAAAACTCTATCGATTTATCTGGGTCTGGATTCAAAGTTCCAAGATAATTAGACCACCCCTCCCTGGTAAGTGAGAGTGAACAGTGGTCCCATTGACAAGACTGTCTTTTTCTTTAAGAAAGGGGTAGCAAAGCCATGGCGACAATTGAGTGCGGAATCGCCGTATGCTCACAGCTGGTTTAAGAATGGGCAAATTAGAACTAGAGAAGCTCCTCTTCCGCTGCTGCTCGACCTAGGGCTCACTAATCAACCCTGTGGAGATGGAACCTTGGCCGGCATAGGGATTCACCGTTTGTAACACTTGCCAACGGCGCCAGCTATGTACAGCACACCTCACGATATTATGAGCCGCCATAGCCCAGACCTATCTAGGCCTACATCGGTATTGAACGGCGAAATCAAAAGTTTTTTCTTTGCAACTCATGATTCAGTACCGATATTGGGTAATCGGTTCATCATATTACACGTGTGAGTTCTGATGAATTGTTGGTAAAATATAGCGAAGAAGGGGTGGGTTGCAAGCAAGGTCTTTGTAGTGTAAGCAGTAAAGGGTTCGGTACCGGAAAATTACAGGAAATGGGCCGTTTCCAGGGGTAACACTTCAAATTTTATGAGAGTACGGCATTGCGAACTGCCCCATCGCATTGCCTTACTATTCTTAAGTCATAAAATCCTTACATGGGCGGTGAGGGCTATCATTATTTCTGTCGCATGCTTTCATTCTTTATTCTTCGTAGGTTTCAATTGCATAGTTATCTAGCGTATTCCCACTTCCTGCTTTCGCCTCAAAAGCAACTCAAGCGATTGACCGATGCTGACATTTTTGAGTGATTTATTTGAACGTTTGCCGATGAACACTCACTGATTGATTGAATTCAAGCTGAAGACGCGAATAAACTTTTTGATGGCTACGCACTCATCGAAGTTACAACATTCCCAGGTTGACTATATGGTTTGATTGGTATGTGTTATTTTAACCCCACTGTGTTTTGTTTGTTTTTTTTGTATAATAAATCTAATCCTGAACTGTTGCTACTGTTTCAGACCGCACGTTGGGAGGGACTGGATATTGCCCACATGGGGGTCGAACTAAACTAAAGCGTGTGAAAACAGTAAACAGTAGTCGCAGTGGGTTTGATTTCTGAAATCAAACCGAAGGAAGCAGATTTGGGCTCATGATACAGGGCGACCCAAAGCTGTTGGTGAGGGCAGTTTGGCTCGTGGTACAGGGCAAGTCAAGGCTGTGAGTATCAATAGAATGATTCTAGACGGGTGAATCGCTCGCGGACAAGTAACCAGGCTTCATTGACGTCGTGCGTTGACGCTTTCGCTGATCAGTTGATAGTGAAGTTGAATAACTGCAGGTTTTTTACAGGCACTGACAGAGGTTATTGAATAAGAAGGTGGGCCAAGACGAGGTCAAGATTGAGGAGGATGTCGTGGAACTTCTACAGGATCAGGTGTGAATTTAGATGATTCTGCCTTCCCGCTTGAATGGATCAGTAAGGAATTAAACAGGATAGCTTTCTGTGTGAGCAAGTACCACAAGTAATCGAGGAATTGGGAGTGCGTAGAGTGTCTGGTCGGTGCAAAGAGAAACATGCGATTATAGTAAAGAGAAAAGTAGATATGATGTGCGAAGAAGTGGAGATGTTTGCAAGTAATTATAAAACTACAACTATGATTAAAATGGAAATACTTAAGGTTTTGCACATGGAAGGAATAGAGACAGAGAAGGATCGGGAGCAGTACATCTGTACCATAGAGAAGGATGGGGAAATTCTGGCAGCCGTGTGTGAGGAATCAAACACTGGCAGCTGATGCGTGGCAGGTAGTGAAGGTCGCGAAGCAACTTAAGGAGAAGGCGGACGCTCCAAGATGTACAGATGTGGATAACGAACAGTTTAGCAATGGTGAGTGTGCTGACAGTAAGAAGACGTCTTACGATTGGGATAGTGATAATCTGGTTTTACAGACAGCTTCAACTCTGCGGACTGGAGCACCTTGCGAGTCCAAATTTAGGCATCATGCGCAGACCTGAGGAGCCAAGAAGTAACAGGGTCAGAGTTTGACTATGGGTATGTTCAACTGCTTTCAATCACTGTCATGTGCTCCATAAAAACCTGGGGTCTACAAAGAAAAGCTCCATAAAAGTTTCAAAGGGTTTGTCAGAAGGCTCCGGAGGAAATATCAAGGGGCAGGAACGAGCGATGGGACGCTCGTTGATACATTGGGAGGTGATCCCCTGAGTGGAAAAGCCAGTATTCTAGTCTTTACCGGCAGAAGTGAAACGCAGGGATTTGAGGTGGTGATAGAAGAAACTGGGGAAGTTGCTCGCAGAAGATAGAGTGGCTGGAAGAATGCGCGCCAATACTGAGTGCGAGAACTAGGGAATCGCCCCAATCAAGAGGTCGGCGAGTTCAGCGTAGGCTTATAGAAACTGTAGAAATATGGCCGCCGGTGAACGAAAGAAATATGTTGAAATGAGTTTGCTATCTAGAGCGGTACAAGTTACAGCTATAGATAGCAAACTCCGGTGGACCGACGACGGAAACTAATTTCGTGAGATATCGGGATCAAAAATCATGGATGGTAAATTGTATATCGAAGCAGTTTTGCCGGAGGCGAACGCACAATTTCATTTGGGGCTTGTAGGAGCCGGCGTGTCTAAATCCGTTTCCGAGGCAGCGAGTAAAAAACCGTTGGGGCAATGCTCCTCATATTGCCGGATTCTAGGTTCCTGACATCGAGGACGATGTCACCCCTCAGGAAGGACGTGTTGGTCAAAGGGGGGAGAACAGTAAAACAGCATTGCGGCCATGATCACCCCTGAGGTAGCAACTGATCTGGCGGGACCTGGCGGGAACAGGCAGAGGTATGAAAGGGAATTCTATTTTAGGTTGGGCAGACTCTCGGAGGGCCGACTAACCGCCCTCTTCTTTGGACTGCCATTAGTTTTTTAATTGATTCATTTTCATCGTTGTGTTATTTTAACTCCATTGTGTTTTGTTTGTTTTTTGTGTAATAAACCTAGTCCTGAACTGTTACTACTGTTTCGCACGATACATTGAAAGGGACTGAATAATCCCCACATCTTAAGCAATTTCTTTGGGCTGAAAGTATCATTGAGAGCACAACGGCACTCACTTAATCGTTTACTTTCTACCACTGCTCTGTGCTGGCGGCAAGCTACGAGAAAAGTTGTACATTATACTGCAGAAAAGATGGAGTTTTCCAGCGACAAAACCACTCTGAAGCTGCAAACCTAGTAATCAGATCAAATACAACATATATACTGACCGAGAAGCTCATGATCGACTGGATGAAAATTGCCTTTTAATCAGGAATACAGACCAACAAATCTCACTGTAAACTCTAGGTCGTCTTTCCGTGATAATGACACCATCAAGAAAGCTATACATGCAAGCTTGTAGCGTGATTTATAATGAGAAATACTGCGGTTCAGTTCTTGATGCGCACCTCTTTGTAGGAAAAGTCAAAATTCGACTGTGCGGTCACCGTGAGTGGCGGTTTTTTTTACGGCTCCTTAGAACACCACTTCTTTTTCATTCTCCCTGCTAGTTTTGCTTCATCAGTTAATCAGCGTTCCTGTTCTCTGTCTACCTGACAACTATCCTGTGATTTTGTTCTTCGGTAGCCTGGAATTTCTATTTGTTTTTTGAATTTTTAGTTCATTGACGCCATTGCACTTTATTGACTGCTTATCGACGGGAGATCATGCCCGCGAAGTCCCAGCGCTCAAGTAAATCAAAAATACAGACTGACAACTCAACTCAATCTCAATCTGCTTCGGTCGATAGTGTAGATTTAGGTACGCAGATTAGCTCTAATGAAAGCATCGACTTCAGTGGTTTTAGCGTGTGCCAGCTTCTTAAAGCGCTGCTAGATCGGAATACCGATCCAGTCATGGAGAAAATGATCGTGGCGCTGTCCGAAAAAATTCCGTGCGAGTCACGCGAATATGTGGAGGCTGAGAAGCGTGCAAGAAGCCTTGTGGTCAGCGGTTTGGAGGAGGCACCGGCACAT